TGGCTCTGCCAGGATGGTGTGGAATGGGGCTGCTGACCCTTGGGGGACTCCAGCTTCAGAAAATGCTTCCCAACATTTTCATCTGTAGCAACAAACCTCAAGGACTCACTTAGGGGCTGACAGAAGAAACTTCACACTGCTGATAGGCTCTGTACACCATAAGAAGAACTACTGGATGATGATGGATTTGGCCAAATGACAGGGAGAAGGGGAAGGAAGGCAGGAGGAAGGAAGTAGGAAGGAAGAAGGATCTGGATGCTTGAATCCAGAGGTGCTCTGGGCAGAGAAAGGTGCAGAGTGGAGACATTAATTGAGATTCTGCCGCGGCACAGGAAAATCCTCCTCCTCTTCTTTGTCCTCTGTCCTTTTCCTCCTCTTCCTTTTCTTCATCTGCTCTCTCCCTAAACTCAGAGAGGATCACATCCTAGGCCATCACTCTATCGCTGAGCTGTACCCCCAGCCCAAGAAAATGTTTTAAAATTCACCAGCTTCCTTAGCTCTGATCCCTCTCACTTAGCAAGGAAGGAGTCTACCTTTCACTTGGTACTCTAGTTTCTGTGCCTTGGGAGAGTTCTTCATCTTGCTTTGGGAGTCAAACAGGACAGGTTCAGGACAGCTACCACCCACTCTCTGCAAGGATGCTTCTGGTCTTGGCAGCATGGAATTGTCAAGAGGGTGGGCAGAGATGACCCAGGGAAGTGTAGGACAAAGCTGGGTCTGCACAATCCTCTGTTTCCATCACAGGACAGTCTGCCCCTAATTGAAATGAAATACTTTAGCCCTAAGAATTCTAGGACAGTGTATTGGTGTTTGTTTTCACATCTCAAACCAGTCACTCAGACTCTGTGCATTCTTGAGTGAATGGACAAGACTGAGTCTCTGAACCTGTAATGTTTCCAAGTTTCCAAGGCAGTCTTCAGTGACCCCCACACAATCTTCCTTGAACCCATGCTGCTGCTTTTTAAGGTCTGCTTCCTACTCTAAACTATTAGGAACATTCTTCTGGAAAGAGGAAACATGGCATTTTAAGAGCCTTGAAACAGATTCTGAAGCCAGAGCCCTCCTCCTCACCACCCACACCTCTGCAGAAGCAGGGGAAAGGGAGCTGCTCAAGTCCTTGGCAAACCCTCAATAAACTACTCATGTGGCTGTTAATAGGCTTTTACAAGCAAGAGCTATACAACAGATAATTAGAATTAATAACCCTAATAATAAAAAGTTTCCAAACCTAATTTTTCATTTTCTTTCTCCAGCCATATAGCACAAAATAAATGTGTTAAGATTTCATTGAAACAAAATCTTATTTTCCAAAGTCAAGCAGCATACTGAAGTCCTTAGAAAGAATCAGAGCCATGATAAAGACCTCATGCCTGAAACCCCCTCTGCCTGTCATTTCCATCACAGTTTGGGGAGACTCTGATGAGAACCCATGTTTATAGAGGGTAATAAGACAACTGGGCAGGGAAGAGGATAACTTAAAAATACAGACAGCATCGTTTACTAAGCACCTGGATCCTGGCAAGAACCTCACAAGACACATCTTTTTATCCATATTTCATAGATAAAACATGGGGGACGAGTTGAGAAGAGTGTGCCCTAGCCTAACATGACACAACTAGAGAGTGGGTGAGCCAGGGCTCAAACCCTCATCCCAGTGGCATCCTCTACCCTCCTGTACCCCGCCCCTCATCTCATTTATTCTTTTAATCACTTTATTGAAGAATAATTTACAAACTAAAAGTGACCCACTGATGTATACAATTCAATACTTCTTAGTGAACTGACTCCACCGTGCTGCCCTCACTATAATCTCACTTTAGGCCAGTTCCATCGCCTCAGCCGCCTACTTACATCAGGTGAAACTAATCTGCAATCTTACCCTTGACCCAGGCTATCACCACTCTGCTTTCTGTCTATAATATTTGTCTGGGGGCTGGAGAGATGGATTAGTGGTTAAGAGCACCGACTGCTCTTGCAGACACCTGCACTCAGTTCCCAAGCACCCAGATGGTGGCTAACAACTGTAAGGAACTCCAGTTTCAGGATCTCACACCATTTTCTGGCTTTCTTGGGTAGTGCACACACATGGTGCATACATGCAAGCTAAACAGTCACACACATAAAAATAAATAAGACATATTTAAAGATTTGTCTTTTTTGTCCTTATAAATAAACCAAGTCACACAATTTGCAGTCATCTGCATCTGGCATCTTTTACTTAATATGGTGTTTGCGGTTTGTCTGGGTAGCACACAGTAATTAATACCTGGCCTCTTTATTGATAATAGTGTTCTGTTGTATAGCTACACAACATGATGATTGTCAAATTACCCTTTGATGGATATATGAGTTCTTCCCAGGTTTTGGTCATCAGGTACAGTAGGACTGTGAATATTCATCTACAGATCTTTATAAGGACATATTTTATTTATTTTTCTTGGATATATACCTAGAAGTGGTATTGCTGGGTCATGTGATAACTATGCATAACTTTTTCAAGAATACTGAGTTTTATTTTTCTTGGATATATACCTAGAAGTGGTATTGCTGGGTCATGTGATCCTTAACTATGCATAACTTTTTCAAGAATACTGAAGAATTGTTTTCCAAAGTGGATGTGCATTTTATATTGCCACCAATAATGAACATCATTCTAGTTCTCTACATCCATGCTAACAGTTGCCATTATTGGACTTTTTGATCAGAGACACTCTTTGGGTGGAAAGTGGGAAGTCCTTCACTGTGGTTTTGATTTACATCTCCAAGACTAAAGGCGTTGGGCATCTTTTCATGTGCCTGTCATATATCTTCTTTGGAAAAAGATCTGCTTCTGATTTTTATAATTTCCCTCAGTCTGTCTGTCCCTGTCTTTGTCTCTCATCATTACAGGAAAGGATTTGTTAGTTTTGTTGATCTTTTCAAAGAACTAATTTTTGGCCTCGCTGAGTTTTTTTCTATTGGTTTTCTCAATTCTATTTCGTCGATTTCCTCTCTAAGCTTTAGGATTTGCTACTGCTGCTTGCTTGGAGTTTAGGCTGTTCTTTTATAGTTTCTTAAGATTAAAAACTTGGATATTTTAGTGTTCCACTTGGAATCAAGGCCATGCCTCTGAGGGAAATGGTGGTATCCCAGGCTCTCCTGCAACTGGCAGACTTTCCTCACCTTTAGTTTTAACACTCAGGCTAGAGACAGGAGTGCCTGGCAACAATATCACAGATGCCCACTGCTTCACCCAACATTCCCTAGTTGTGACAGTTTGAATGAATGGTGCCCCCGCCCCCCCCCGCCCCATAGGCTCAGGTATTTGAACACTTGGTCTCCAGTTGGTGGTGCTGTTTGGGGAGGTTTAGGAGGTGCGGCCCTGTGGTAGGCGTTGATAGTTCAGATCCTCACTCTACTTCCAGTTCACTCTCTCTGCTGAGGGTGTGGTTGAAGACGTGAGCACCCAGCTTTCTGAGGCTTCTTGCTTTGCCTCCTTCTCCGTGGTGGACTTTCATCCCTCTCATAAGCCCAAATAAACTCTTCCTTCTGTAAATTGCCTTGGTCATGGTGTTTTATCACAGCAACAAAAAGTATCTAATAGTTTTTCACAAATAGCAGCTCCCCAACTTGCTGAATTCCAAATGATTATTTCTGACAATTTTGTCTGGCTTTACAGTTGTTTTGATGAAAGAAATCTGCCAAGCTACACATTTCTGACCCACTGAAGTCCTGTCTCTTTAAGGCCCTTTTCTTTTCTTCATAGGAAACCATGTCTTGGGTTCATCCATTCTCTGGTCTAGCTCTCACAGAATCTGTCTTTGAGGTTCATGAGGCACAGATGGTTTTTTAAAACTATTAAGCCTCAGCTTCCTCAAAGATATTAGTCCAGGGCACACTGTGTGTCTCAGGATCTGCATTTATAGTGGAGAAATCCAATGGTGTTTTCACTGAATCCAGAACCTGCAAGGAAGGCAGGAAACTGGGTCCTCACACTGCTGCGTGGGCAGAGGCCCTCACACTGGCCTGGAAGGGAATCACAGCGAGGACTGTGTCACCCTGTGTGGGGCCCAGGCTCTTGCAGTGAGCAGAGGCTCTTCCAGCTCCTTGCTGATGTGAAATGGCTCAGACTGTGCATCCAGTCCTATCTCTTGAATAGAAGTGGCCTGACCTCCTCCGTTTCCCAAGGTATGAGAAGTGGGAAGGAACAAGGTTAGAGCCTGAATAAAAAGACGGTAAGTTGAGCTCCAGAATCCATCCTTCTCTGCTTCCTGACTGCAGATACAATGTGACCAGCTGTCTCAGGTTCCTACACCATGATTTCCTTGCCATGATGGATATACTCTCAAACAGTAAGTCAAAGCAAACCCTTCCTTCCTTAAATTGCTTTTAAAAAAAGATTTTAATTATTTTTATTTTATGTGTATGAATGTTTTGTGTGCATGTAAGTGCACCACATGTGTGCAATGCCTGCAGAGACCAGAAGAGGGTGTCAGATTCCCTGGAACTGGAGTTACAGATAGTTGTTAGCTGCCATGTGAATGCAGGAAACTGAACCCAGGTCATCTGCAAAACCATTTAGCGCTCTTAACCACTGAGCCAGCTAGCTCTCCAGCCCTTAAATTGCTTTTGTCAGGTATTTTGTTATGGCGAACACAGTTAATTTTATTATGGAAACTAGGTGAGCTGCAACGCTGTCAGAGAACAGAACCCTATAACTACACATCCAGTGCCACTGAGGCTCATCACAAGAGCAGAACTGGACGCTCAGGTTTCAAAAAACATCTGGAAACCCTGCTCACTGGGTCTTCTTGCATGGCGCCATAGCCTCCAGTCTTACCTCAACCACTTCAAATCCCAACCTTCTACTCAGGTCATCGCTTACGGCCTCCTTCCTTTCCGGTCACTCTTCATGCTGGCCAGCGCCCTGCCCTCCACACGAGCACCCCAGCCTGTTCCCCACTTTAGGGCTGGCACAGGTGGGAAGTGACCACAGGCTAAGGGCAGAGCTTCAGTGTTACCTATTTGCCTTTCCAGGTCAGCGGCTTCATCAGGCGTGGCTCGGGGGAGGACTCCTGGGTCGCTGAAGCTGGTACGCAGCAGAGTCCCCATCACAAAGAAGAACAGGATGCCACCAACCACGGGGATGGCAGGGGTGATCTTCACCGCGAGGTATGGACAGCTGCCGGCAGATTGGGGAAGCAGGAGGAATGGGAAAGAAGAAAGGAAATGCAGAGTTAGGGTCAACAGTAGCAGTCTGTACATCCTAAGCAGACAAAAGCTTATTTCAATGAGTGAAACGGATTTTCATCTGTATTAAGAATTTATGGGCTGGGGAGATAGCTCAGCAGGTAGAACACACTGACAAGTCTGAGAACCTGAGCTTGGATCTCCAGAACCCAAGTAAAGATGAACACAGAAGCACGTATTTATAAATCCAGTGTTCTTATGAAGAGATGGGAGATAGAAACAGGAGACTCCCCAGTAGCTCATGGGCCTGCTAGCCTGGTGCATGCATTGGAAAACAATAAAGAGACCCTGTCTCAGCAGGGTGGAAGGTGAGGACCACCACTCGAGGTTGTCTGACCTCCTCTGACCTCCACATGTGCACTGTGGCACTCACACACATACACTTACATGAAAGACAAAAATTTTAAGAGAATTTACATCTGCCGTTTTTTCTGTGGATAACCGAACTCTTGTTCTCTTGCCGAGACAGTCCAAGTCTTGTGTCCCCATAAGAAAGTGGCAGAAGGACAGAAAAAATCCTGCTTGTCCTGTTGATCTAGAATGTATGGAGCTCGTATAAATATACACGAGCCCTTCACATTGTAAACACTCATCAGCCTATGAACCCCACCCCATCCCTGGAATCACAGTAGATGATATGTCCACTTAGGCTCACCATTTAGAGACAGCTCCATCTGACCCACCTTTTCTACCTTGGTCAAACAACTCAGGCATTTTCTGCCACGACAAAACACCGAGGATTATGAACTCATTTTCAAAAGTCAAGAAACCAGTTTTCAATATTTTGGGAGCAGTTTGTCCAAAAAAGGTTGATAATGGAAATGAACTTGAAGGGAGTTTCTAAAGAGCATGAAAGGAATGTCAGAAAGCATGTGGTCCAACTTCTGTTAGTAACATTTTGTTTTGTTTGTTTTTACGAGACAGAGTTTCATTTGGTTCCTAAGGCTGTTCTTCAAGTCCTGGACTCCAGCAATCCTGTCTTGGTCTCCCAAGTAGCTGGGACAACAGGTGCATGTCACCACTCAACTTCAAAAAATATTTATTTAAAGTGTATGTGTATGAGTGTTTTGCCTGCTTGTATGTAAGAGCACCCATGTCATACAATGCCTGCAAAGGCCAGAAGAGGGTGTCATATCCCCCGGAACTGGAATTATCTATGGTTGTTAGCCACCATGTAGGTGCTGGGAACAGAAACTGGGTCTTCTGCAAGAGCAGCCAGGGTTCTTAACCGCTGAGCTATTTCTCTAGCCTCACCACCCAACTCTTAATGCTATGAAACCCTCCTCACACCGGCAGATGGGTTGGCACACATGCAAGGAGGGGCTGTGGAGAGCAGGGAAGAGGTGGCTTTGGCAGATTAAAGTTTATCCCTGGGAGCTGCCATCTCACATTTGGTTTTCGATCTTGGTATACTGGGACTGGGCAGGTTCAAGCACAAGGCCCTGGCTTGTTGCCAAGGCACCTTGGCTCTACAGAGGTGGTAGGAGGTAGAGCTATGAGTTACCTCAATGCCTGAAACTAGAAAAGGGTGAGGTCTCCCACGACCACCTTCAGTGCCGTGTGGCCTCATTAGGTGACATCATGGGTATAGAAGAACACAACATGGCATCATGGGACCACAGTGTAGAGGGTGGGAAGTGCTCCCACCTTGTCCTCAGAAGCAGCAGTTCTATCTGTTCAAGGAAATGAATAGCAAGAGCTAGAGAAGGATGCAAATTCTGCTCAGGACTGGGAGGTGGATGAGGTGCAGCCCTGGGAGCCCTGGGGACTAGAGCATCCCACTGTGTGCAAAGGGCTTTCAGAATCCTCTGTACTTCGGGAGCTGTGAAACTTCCCCATGACTTTAAGACAGTGGTGGGACAGTCCCAAACATGAGAGGGTTGGGCTGATTCTCTGCCAGACACAATAGGCTGGTCTCTAGGAAAGCCACCTGAATAGACAGGACACCCAGGGCATTTCCAATACCTTGGTCACAGACCCATCAACTCTGCTGCAGAAACAGAGCAAAGCAAAGCAATATCACAAAATAGTATTGTGCTCCATTTCAACATAACTGCCCGTTGTGATGTCACTTCACAGGTGGGAAACCATAAAGACTGCCCCCCCCAGACCACTGTTGTGCTTGTGTCAACTTCCAGGCATCCAAGTCTTCTCTGAGCATCACAGAAAGTGAGTTTGATGAGCAGAATTAGAAAATAGAAAGACTTTGCTAAGTAAAATGGCATCTAAGAAACTCTGACCTAAACAACCCCCTGGTATGATGTGATTGCCCCTCAAAGTTCATGTGTCAGAAACTTAATCTCCAAGGCTGTCCTGAGAGCTGGGACCTTTAAGAGATGACTAGGTCATTAGGACCAACAGATCAATGTTGCCATGAGAGGTGTGGATTCCATATTTAAGAGCGTGCTAGCTATAAAATTGAGTTCAGGCCTCCCTTGTTTGTTCTTTCTCTCTCTTGCCTCTTTCCTTCTGCCATGAGATGACCCAGCACATAGGCCCTAATTACTACAGACAGACCCCTGACGATGGGCTTCTCAACCTCTGGAACTGTGAATCGATCTATGTTCTTTGTAAGTTACCCAGTCTCAAGCATTCTGCTATAGCAACACAAAATGAACCAACATACATGTTCACTCCTTTGGAACGTGTTCACGTACATTACAAAAACAACTCTTGAATCTATTTGATATTGCTGTGTGCAAATAGGGAGTCACCGCTTCTCCTCAGTGACTTCAGGCAACTACTGACTGACATAATTAATGCTTTCATAAGCTTATACCTCTTCTAAAACATTTGATTTTTATGATATTAAGTACTGAAAAGCTTCAAGTTAAATAAGAAACTAGGGACTCTGTAACCAGGCAAATAACTGCTCTCTCATATTCCTGGGCTTGAAAAGGGAATCTTTTTTTTTCCCCACAACACAGAAATACTAAAAGATGGCCCCATTCCATGATGTGGGCCTGGGTTCAGGGCCTAGCACAGAATTTGCATTTCAATTTAAGACATGTAGAAAATAGAAGAATCTCATCAGAAATGACTGTTTTTCCATTAGAACTTTAATGCAAAATGGCAACCAAAGTCTCATTACTGCATCAAACTCAGAATCCAAAATGTTTGTAAAGGACTCATGTCTATGATTAGGGAGTGGCAGATGATAACTTTGAGAGGGGTCTT